TGCATTGTTATTTTGACAAGTACGAGCTTGGTATGTCGTTTTACAAGGAGCTAACCGACCGTGGCTTTACATCATCGCTTAAACTTTAAAAAGAGTTCTCAGAAGTGTACTTCAGAGTTTTGATAAAACAAATATCACTTTACAGCTTATATAGTCGCTAAACTCATTGAATAAAATAAATAATCGAAAAAAAACATTAGACGTTTAGTGCTTGTATGGTTATAATAATTCTTTGTGCTTTTTTGATGTTTTGAGGGTTTAGCTGTAGAAAAGTGTAACACTCACTTAAACGCCCGAGATAACGAACGCCGGGTTATTAAAGATCTATTCTAAAACTGCACACGATAACAAATAAGTACAGACGAGTATGTAATAAGATGAAATTTTGAAAGTAGAAAGATATTAAAAATAATTTAAAAGACACTTATTTAAAAATGATTGTTTAAATCGTTCTGAATTGACCTTCGGCGATATTAATCAATTATTAGGCGAGGTCGAGCAAAATATCGTGATTTGTCCAATAATTGATCTGCTCGCCACCAACAAGTCACGATATTTTGCGAGAAATGAGTTCAATAATTGTTTTATCATTCACAGTTATCTTATTATTTTTTGGTATTTTCCGCGTTTTTTTTCTTCGAGTAAGCAATACAACTTATTTTCCGAAAGCTTAGCAAAGCGAGTCGCCATTATTGTTTACAAAATTGAAGCGAATGCACATGGTGAGAGTATTATTTGTAGCTGAGCAACGTTTTCAACAAGTGTGCATGCTCAGACTACTATTTGCACGCAGTTATTTGCCGAGTAGGTAAATTAACCAATCAAAATTGAGAAAACAATAAAGTGAACGATAGAACAATTTATATTGCCGATGGTCAATACAGAGCGATTTAAACAATAATTTTTAAATAAGCCGGGTGATTTAAACAATGATTTTTAAATAAATGATTTAAAAAGTCATTTTTAAATAAGGTCGTTTTTGTTTTTCCGGTAGCAACTCTTAGAGGCAATGTTCAGGATTGTTTATGATCTTATTAAACAATGCCTTATCTTTCTCCCCAATCATTTTAGCTATTGAGTATTTAGACGAGTACAGACAAGTACAGACGAGTAACAGACGACCACAAGTAACAAATGATTTTAGACGAGTAACGGCTAACGGCTAACGGCCCAAAGCCCCGCTAGATCGAAATGGGGGTGGGGTGGCAATTTATATTAGAAGTATAATAAATTATAAAAAAGGGATGATTTAATGAATAATAATAATCTTGAAACAATCACACTTGATATCTCTCCACCTAAATCAATGTCATGCATTTTTTAGTAAACACATGTTATTGTCCACCAAACTCCAGTATGGAGTGTTTTGATTGGTATAAAGAATGTTTCATGAGAATGGACTCTGAAAATAGGAAATTATCTTGATGGGTGATTTCAATTGTGATAGGACAATTGATAATAATGCCCCTACACACACATCAAGGTTGGCAGATTTAAGTACTACTTTTCAAGAATCTACCCGAGTAACAGCTTTTTCAAAGACACTTATTGACCTGGCTTTTTGTAATAGACCCGAATTAATGACTGGTGAAAACACATCGGAATAAGTGCATGATCATAGTTTAATATTTGTATGTCGTAAATTATCTATTCAAGGCAAATAACCTAAAATGATTAAGTCACACCAATATAAACACTCTAAAAAAATTATTTCCTTGCTGATTTAAAGAATATTTTACAGTTTTCGTCGAATGATGGTAATCCAGATGTTCTTTGGGAAGATTTTAAAACAAGACGCCTGTTTTGGCGTTAACTCCGGCGTGCCTCTCGTAAAGTCCCTAAAGGCCCTGGTTGCAGAGGTAGCTGAGAAGAGCAAGCGTGGTTAATGTGTATATGATGGTAATGCTGGGAAAGTGTGAGGGTAAATCAATTGTTATTTTTGGCACTTCAATCGATGTAGGTAAATTCTAGAGGTTGAAAGGGTCTTAATTTCGAGTGGAATTATTATAGTGGCAAGAACATTGCACTGGCATCACAAAAGCGTAGGTTCGATTCCTGCCGGAGGACCGTTGTTGACTCATTCTTGCATCAACTTTTCCTGGCTTGAATTTGAAGTGTGTATAATTCCACTCGAAATTAAGACCCTTTCATCCTCTAGAATTTATTAGCTTCGTATTATAATATATATATATATATATATATATATATATATATATATATATATATATATATATATATATATATATATATACGAGCAGCTTCTTATCCCAGTGGTGGTACTGAAAAACTGCAACCTATGTCTGCTAGAAAAACTATGTATCCTAAACATGAATAAGCATAACTTGCTAAACAAAAGATGTGAACTCTTTTCTATATATATGTATATGTATATATATATATATATATATATATATATATATAATTATATATATATATATATATATATGTGTGTGTGTGTATATATATATGTATGTATGTATTGGCCTTGAGTCCCACGCATTGCAGCAAAGCGTAAATATACCCATGTAGAAAATATTTATAGTGGTGAACATCAAGGTAAACAGTATGATGGTGTGACAATTCATTTCTATTCGAGAAGTAACAGCTAAAATTGAACAATAAAAAATATACATGCAGTATGTCCCAAAAAAGGGTCAATATAGAAATTATCTCATTGAAATTTTACTGTGTTAAGATCTGTTCACACGATCCAATTTTGTCGGATCCGTTTCACTTTTGATGGATGTTTTAAAAAAAATGTTGACTTGTAATGTAATTGGACAGCAAATCAACTGAAGTCAATTCAATGCCGTTTTTATCAATAACAAACTACATTCCATATACGTCAGAAGTGATATTGGATTGAACTTTGAAGTTGGATCGTGTAAACGGGCCTTAGAACGTAGTATTACAAAGGCTCCGCTCTGTAAGTAATAACTATACAGAACTGGAACTAGTCTACTCACTTTTTAGTGCGCATGCTCGGTAGGTACTAACTTACTGATATTGTGATATCACGTGAAAATTTTGGAAATATTATCATAAGAGAGTAACATGATTATGTACATTTTCGCTACAGATTTTCATGTAGATTGCAATGCAGCTATAAAGACCTCGCGAAGCTGCGGGTATCTGTGTTATCGTAAACTTCATTAAAACTACCCACTTTGCACTTCTTTTAGGCCTTGTCTTAATGCGCAATTCATGGGCGATGTCATATTTCGGTGGTAATTGATACTCGATTGCTTTGTTTGCCAGTTTAATCACGGACAATGGATCACAGAGCATCGCCAATGAATTACGGCACATGAGAACTGGGCTTTACAGGGGCAAAGTTATCAAAATTATTTAGTTATCAAAAATTTGTACATGTCAAAGCTCATGGTATTTGATTTGTAAGTTAAATATTGCTATCCGTATCTGTAAATTGTAATTATTGGTAATAAAAATCATTTTTGGGTACAAACAAACTTAATTTACTGTCACATGGATAAACATGCCTAATATGTATGTCAACATATATATTCATATTAACATTGTTATGGGTGATTTCAATAGTTTTGGGGTTTCTTGGAATACCCAGCTGTAGTTAGCATTGCAGGTTACCATTTTAACCTCGAGATCGCTAATCCAAATTTAGGCGACATTCCCGACTAATTTTATAGGATTTATGCAATTATGCAACAGATGGTCGTGCAGCATGAAAAGAATACGGCACAGGTAATTTATCTATAAAACGACAAGGAATTTTCCCAGTCTGTCTATTGGCAGACAAATGAAAAATTTTGATAAAGACACTAATATCTGAAACCGTGAAGCCATAGTATTTCAATTATTTCTTTTAAAGGAATATGGCAATAAAAATAATTTCTGTATTGTTGAAAAGGAAATTTACACTTCATATAGAGCCTTTTTACAAAATTTGTTTATCTCACTTCGCAAGATATTGGCGATCGAGATATATCCGTTCGAAAATTCATTCGAAAATATCTTCAGAGTTCAGAAGTAATGAAGTTAACAAAAATCTGTAAACGAATTTTGTAAATATCGTGACGTTCTTTACAAATCGACAAAGACAATTTTTATTGCCGTATTCCTTTAAATAACATTAATCGTCAACCCACGTTCAGGACTGCATTTGTTTGAATTTTTTGCAATTTTCGCTCTTTAACGCTTCACTTAAGGCCGGCGCACACTAGAGCTATGTGCTTAGCAAAAAGTCATTCGTGGCCATTGGCGTAAGCCAGTTGCTCTCGTGTGCGGGCGACTTTTCCGGTGACTTTGGTCATTCGTGCCACTTACGGCAAATATCTAGCATGTTTGATAATCTCTGCCTCGCGTGCCGAAACCTTTCCGTGTGCGGCAAACTGAAAGCTATCTGCTTATGGATTGTCTTATCAGCGCATGCGTAATATACGAAAGTAAACATCCAAGATAGCGGTGCAAACAAAGCAAAACGAATTGGTGGCTGAGGCCATATTGGAAGACAAACTGGTTGATCTTTGGCCAGAATACATGTGTTTATACGATGTGAATTCTACAGATTTTAAAAACAGACAGAAACGGGAATGCGCTATTGCAGAAATAGCTAGTAAGCTTTCTCAAACAGGTAATATAATTAATAGCACTTGGATAACGGTGTTTAGTCCAGTCCGACGCAACAGCAACAAAAATAACAACACCTCTTCGTCTTCACTTTCATTCATAATTTTGTTTTGCAATCTGTACGCCATCTTGGATGTTTACTTTCGTATATTACGCATGCGCTGTTCAGACAATCCATAAGCAGACAGCTTTCAGTTTGCCGCACACGGAAAGATTTCGGCACGCGAGGCAGGAATTATCAAACCAGCTAGATATTTGCCGTAATTGGCACGAATGACTAAAGTCGCCGGAGAGTCGCCCGCACACGAGAGCAACTGGCTTACGCCAATGGCCACGAATGACTTTTTATAAGCACATAGCTCTAGTGTGCGCCGGCCTTTAGGTAGTAGGTACTTCGAACTAGCGTTATCCCATCACAGCAGAGATCGGTTAATCGACAATGCTCGCGTTTTAAAGCATTGCAAAAGTATTTAAAATATCAAGAATCTTTCTATGATTTCCAGTGAAAGGAGGTAATATTGTTACCCTCAGTACTAAACAGCTTTCCCATTTCACGGTAGCTGTACTCACCCCGTATTTGGCAGTTGTCATGGAATCGTAGTCGTTTTAATTCTTTGCTACAGCCCAAAAACTCAAAAACTGCGGCAGAATTAGCTGGTGTAATATTAATGTCTTTTAAACACAGCTCTCCATTTCTTTCTGCCAAATAATTACCAGAAACTGCCTTGATAATGTCATCATCTTGCAATTCATAAAAACACTTTATCCCAAGTAGGGCAATTTCGTTGTCTGTTCCCAATTGAAGGACCCATTCCTCAAATCTAAACACGAGACAATACAGATATGTCACGGCTCTGCGGATTAAGATTCCATAGACGGTTGGTAAAACTTTTTGTATTTTTCATTTTTTAACTTTTGCATTTTTTTATTTTCTTATTTTTGTTTCTACCTTTCGTGAATTTATCAAGAAAACGATATAAACTATTGAATATAGTAAACGACAACTTAGTCTGTGTTCACCAGATACGATTTCTTGGCCTGCTTTACCTGGCTACAGTTGTAGGAAAGCTGGTCCGGTGCATGCTACGGCGATATAACCCCTGATTTATGTGTAATGCATCATCCGCTGGTCCTGGTGCTACAGCGATATAACCCCTGATTTATGTGTAATGCATCCGCTGGTCCGGTGCTACAGCGATATATAACCCCTGATTTATGTGTGATGCACCATCTGCTGGTCCTGGTGCTACGGCGATATAACCCCTGATTTATGTGTGATGCATCATCCGCTGGTCCGGTGCTACGGCGATATAACCCTTGATTTATGTGTGATGCATCATGCATGGGCCCCCCGCTTATTTTAGCACATGAGTCGAAATGGCGTTTCAAGTAACGTTCGAAGATTGGTTGAAAGAGGAAAATTTTGATTTGGTTTTCGCTTTCGACGACGCTGATGTCGAAAGGTAAGACAAATCATCCCCTGTTATTCGATTATTAGCTACCTCGCAATAATATACAAAGGTTTCGCAACTTCCTGTCCTGTCCGGACTCCGGAATATGTAATTTTATCACGCTTGTGGCAAAACGGGAACGATGGATTGGCGTGTGCATTCAACGTGAAAATTTTCGTCCTTAACATTAAAAAGAATGCCCTGAATTATACTATATTAACAACAAAAAGAGTAAATAATAATATAAAAAAAATATATCCAAACGATCGATTTCATAGTTTTGGCAAATTAACAAATTCATTTTGTCTCTTTGAGTCTCGAATTTTGATTTGAAAACATTTGCCGCCCTTCCTCGCTAGCCTCAGTGCTAAACTGCATCACGCATGTTTCATTACTTTCATACCAATATATCGCCGTCTCAACGCCCTATCTTATATACGCCCTGGTAGCACTAAATTTGGTACTGTTTTCGCATTATACAGGCCAGTCTTCAAGGTTTTACGCATGCGATACCAAAAGCTGAGGGAGATTAGTAACTACTAAGAAGCTAGTGCTAAATATTCATACTAAACTTTCATTGTGCGATCAAACATTATATTTTTTCAGCACTTTAGATGGAATCTCGAATATGGTCATTAATCAGGACGTTTTACGGTCGAACAAGTTAAAAGGTGATGAAAACAGATAAAATAAAAGCTCAAAAGATAATACTTTCGACAGAATCAACAGCTTATAGCTACTAAGTGGAAGGTTTTGAGATTTCATTTAACACTTATTTACCTAGACTGAAGAAAACATTATTGCGGACTCACCGGTCGATAAAATAATGTTTTCTGAAATCTAGGTAAATAAGTTTTTTATTATATTCCACTTTTCAAAGAAAAACTAAAACCAAGGTAATCAGCGAAATATGCACCGCACGTGATTAAAGTTTTTATCTCAATTGGAAATAGTGCGTTACCTCTCTGCGCTGGCGACATAAAAATTTCGCATGATTCGCTCTTGACCATCGAAACGCTATGAAAACCAAGCTTTGACCAGTGGCCGTATATAATAAATATAGATTACTTTATGGTTGGCGAGAACACAAGATGAACTCCGAAAAGGGTAAACTGGATAAGTCTGCTGTAGCTCACCATGCGTGAACTTATGATCATCGCATTACATGGAAAAGATGCAAGCATTTTAGCGAATGATTTTCGCAAGATGAGAGAATCTAATGAAATCTATAAACATCGAACTATCGCCCAAGAGGGTAAGCCACTCAATAGTACGTGGCGTGCTCTTTTCAATGTCTGCTAGCTAAATACTTGTCCAGGACACGCGCATTAATTAGAACTATTTCTTTTTCATAAGTATATTATTTGGTAAGTGAGATCGTTTAATTAATGGCGCGAGCTAACAAATCAGGCCAACGTCATATTTTAGTGACGGGTGAATGTGTATTCAGGTAATTGCACTGATTCATGAATGCCCGGGTTAACGAATCGAAAGCTTTGCAGTATTAAATACTTACGTGGTGTACCTACAAGCTAAATTACTTATTTTAGTTCAGTTGTTCAATAAATAGATAATTTTGCTTTCCATTTTGAACTTATATTCACCGTCTAAGCTAAACGCCTTTCGAACAACCGGCCCCAGGGCTCTAACCAGTAACCACTAAGCTACAGCACAGAGGAGAGATTGACTGACGCTCGACTCGCGGCTCCACGCGTCCCCACCTTTTCACTATGCACGCGCTAGTAAGCGTTTACACCCGATTCGCTTCTGGTAAGCTCCGACATTTTCAATAAGGAAAAATGGATTTTTTGCCAGTAAAAATGCAATTTAAAAAATTTAACCGCTTTGGCTAAAATGTTCTTTTGTAGTGTAAGGTAAGTGCTAAAATATATTTTCTTTGGAAAGTTTGAAAAATGACTGATAAAGTATGTAATCGAACAGCAAATCTGCTTGAGAAGTAAGGTACATAATTACGAATGTTATCAGTGAATGTTTGTATCATCAAATGGTACTAATTATTAAAAAAACTGATATCCTCTGCGAGTTAAAGCTATATAACGCCAAAAACTCAAAATGTCTTGCAATGTATTTTGTCGAGATCATAAAATGACAACGCGAATTTAGAAGTATTCTTTTAAATTCGTCCAATATTGTTATTCTACCAATATGCAAACGCTCTGTCTGCTGGTTGACAAACAATAAAAAAGCAGCTCTGACAACGTTTCACTTCGGCAAACACAATTTGACAATTCGAGTACAAATATGGCAGTAGACAAGGCTAATCAGATCGCACTTACAAAACGAGGATTTTAATATTGCTTTTAATTTTAAGAACAACACGAACATTTAAACCCAACAAAACAAAGAACTTACCGTTAATGTCCAAAATTTTAGTTCAAAAAAATGATGATAATCCGATCAGGTTTCAGAAAAATCAACTTTTCACCTTTCAAACAGCGTTTTTTCTATACGTTTGTATTGAAATTTGGACTTACGGGTTACCAGAAGAGAATCGGATGGTTGCGTGGCGCGTGGAAATGATGTGACAATGACGTGGATTAGTACAAAAATAGGGGATACTCGTTTCAAGATAAAAGCGGAAGAGTCGAGCTCTGTCCATGTGGACAGAAAACGTCACTTGTGGGAGAAATTACCTATGTAAGATGTTCAGGTAGTGCGGAAAACAGATGGAAACACGGAAACTTTCCCGCCGAAATTTACAAGCGAAGTAGTGTGCAGGGTGAGAATTTGTAATTGAATCGATGTTTTAAAAAATACACAAAATCTCTTTATCAAGCCCCCCCCGGTTAAACGAGAATGAGAGTTGATAAGAGTTGAGAAGCGCGAGTTTGTCAAACTCTGGTGCGATGGCCAAACGATAATTATTTTTTTATTATAAAAGAAATAGAAAACTAATTTTCCTGTGTTTATATACAGTTATAGAAACACGCATATTTCCAAGGTAAAATTAAACTTCCCAGAATAAGTTCAAAATAGAAAGCAAGTCTGCCGTTATATTCAACAAGCAAACTAAATGTTTTTGACCTTAATACTGTTTACAACTACAAATTCAGTGCATAATATTCAAAAGAGATGTAAGAGTGTTATTTAATTTTGACTTATCCACCGTTTAAGCTAAACGGGCTTGATACAACCGGCCCCTGGTTTGCGTAAATCTAGCCACGTGTGCTAAGGTCTGCCCAGGATCAAAACGGATGGTGGTTTTCCCATCTTCGAGGGGAGGGGCTGCGCAAAGGGGACCGATTTTTTTTCACGAGGGACCGACTGCCCTAGCTACTACTGGAAACCATAATAATAGAAATACATGCTTTCAGCACCTCTCCCAAGATTAGCTATAACTATAAGTGCTATTTAAAATACGAGCGGCCGATCTGTATGGGTATTTACAATGGCTCGTGCTACGCACTCGCCATTGTAAATCCCATACAGATCGGCCGCGAGTATTTTAACGTGCTTGTGAAATGAATAAATTAAGGTGGCTCCCTACAATTTTTTAAAATATTGAAAACTTGTGGTTTTGATTTAAAATTTTAGCCCCAGATTTCTTGCTAAGGAAAAGAAATTTTCCAGATATATTAACCAACATTCTAACAGTCAGAAATTGCCCATAAGCATGACGTCATTACCGTTGTTATGGTAACAATGGCGATTCAATATGGCCGACATTTTACCTATTCACGCATTTTACTCGAAAACAAGTTCGATTACCCCAATTTTTTATTTTATAAAAAGTTTTCTTAAAAAACAATGCAAAATTTTAACCAGTTAAAAAAAATTCTATCGAGCCAAAATTAATAAAAATGAAAAAACATGATTTTTCGTTATAGAAATTTTTTAGCTTTATAGAATTTTTTTAAACTTGCTCAAATTTCCCATTTTTTTGTAAGAAAACTTTTTATAAATAAAAAATTGGTGTAACCGAACTTGTTTTCGAGAAAAATGCGTGAATAGGTAAAATGACGGCCATATTGAATCGCCATTGTTACCATAACAACGGTAATGACGTGATACTCAAAGACAATTTTCGACTGTTAGAATTTGGGTTAATATATCTGGAAAATTTCATTTCGTTTAGCAAGAAATTTCCTGCCAAAAATTTCAATCTAAATCATTAGTTTTCAATATTCCTAAAACTGTAGGGAGCCACCTTAAGTTTAATGCATATTGGGGCATGTGTGTAACAAAGTTATGAATACTAATTAAGATTGGTTGTATCAAAGTTAATATATTAATTAACAATTCATGAGACCTTTATGGAGATTACAGCGTTTCCACATTGAAGGAAATCTCCTTCAAAATGTCAACCATGAGGGAGGGAGGGAGGGTTAGTCTTAATAGGATATATTATGCATTCTTTTCAAACGTTTTTTGTTTCTCTCTTTCTCATTACCATCTCCCCATGAGGACAGCCTTATGCAAATAAGTTGTGGAAACGCTGATGGAGAATTACAGATGTATACATGTGACCAAAATACTGCGCAATGATTGCAAGTTAGACTCATTAATTATTCATGATTTCACAAGGTGATATATTATGGGATGACCAGTGGCGTAACAGCACAACTAGGGGCCCGTGGTAAAAATTTAAAAGGGACCCCCTTACATAACCATACTAACATCTAAAACATTATTCTAAAACCTAAAATAATGATTTAAATATTAATTACTGTAATTATAATATCAGTTGTTAAAAAGAACGCATCAGTCGCGACATTAAAACGTTTCTTTAATTAAATAGAAATTACAGAAATAGAATTTCCAAATTCGCAGTTTTAGGTTGTTGCTATGTAACCAAAATGCAAAAAAATTGTTCAACAGTTTCTTAACGTAACAGTTAATTTATAAATAGGAAAAGGAACCTGAGCCCTGAAAACGAAAAGTGCATGTAATTAAACTACAAACTTTCCAATCCTTGCTTTTTTGTCTGCAAACGTGTCAATAAGCTTTTCAATGTCTAACAACCACGCTTCATTGTTCTCAATTGAAAGAATTGCCAGTGAGTCCAGGCGATCTTGTGCAATGCTTGAGCGAAGGTAATTCTTTATAAGTTTCAACTTTGAAAATGAGCGTTCTGCACTCGCAACTGTTACCGGATGCCCTTCAGTACATCCCCGTAACACCAGCGAAACGACTCGATTTCATTCACAAGATCAGATATGTAATCTGCCACTTCAACCCCATCTGTGCATATGTCTCCCTTGTATTCATTAACAAACAATTCGGCAGACTTGCAAACTTCTGTAATGTCAAGAGTTGCAAGGCTTCCAGGGAGTACAAATTTGAAGGTATCAGCAAGAAATTTCTGGCTCCTGAAGCGTTCTTCTAATTGATTGGTAGCGGTGTCAATCACTTGGTAGAACATCTCTACAGTAAATCTTTTTTCAGGATCCTGTGGTCTACTGTCCGAGGCAAATTCGTCATAGAATCGAGGAACTCGGCGTACGGGCTTAAATGCAAAAGTGCAAGAGACGCCTACTTTCAACGCGAACTTCACAGCTTCCATTTTGATCGCATCCCATTTGTCTCGCATGCCACTTATTTTACGCATGGCTCTTTCAAGTTCTTTGGCTGACCTACTCAAGTCTATTTTGTTTGACTGTAAGTTAGCTGAAGCGATCTGAATTGCTGTGAGTAACTTCTCCCATATAATAAGCATAACAACAAATTCAAATTTATTTAATTTGAGATGCAAACTGGCAGCTTCCTCTCGTTCCTTGACATTATCTTTTCCTTTCCTTTTCAAGTTGTCCAACACATGAAGTAAATCACGATATCGATTCTTCACTGCTCTTACTGAGTTAATTCTTGATGACCATCTGGTAGCACACAGTTTCTTTAATGTCAACTTAGTTTTAACTTTCCTCTGTTTCTTTTTTTTGGCCTGTGTGGTTGAACCCACATTAATGGCAGTGTCGTCAGAGTCCGTATCACTGTCAGAGGATACTTCATTTGTGAATTCGTCGATCACGCTGAGATCAGTGCTGTTTAGATCTGCCGTTCGATTGATGCTTCTGTTAAAGAAAGCATATATCTCTTCAAGATCAGCAAAAAAGTTGATGCTGTAAACATTGCATTCAACAGCATCATTCACAACAAGGTTTAGCTTGTGGCTAGCACAGTGCACACACGGCGCGGGTGATGTTATTCCTTCACTTTTAAGGTAATTTGAGATCAGTACGTTGACACCTCCCTTGCTCCCGCTCATCACACTCGCTCCGTCATAACCCTGTCCTCTTATTTGTTTGGGATCCAAACCAATACGTCGTAAATAGTCAAGGACAGTATCTGTTAACGCTTTAGCAGTTCCTCCTTGTTTGGCCGGAATAAATCCCAAAAATGTCTCAACAACTGTTGCAGCTTCCATATCTACCCACCTTACAACAATCGAGATTTGGTCCACTCTGCAGATGTCGCTTGTTGTGTCAAAAATTAGGGTGAAACACGGCGCAACTTTGATTTTTTCAACGAGCTTTAGTCGTGTGGCATTTGCAAGAATTTCAATTATTTCATTTTGGATAGTGGGTGATAAATATCTACATTTACGAGCTTTCGAATCAACAAGCTGTTTAAAGTACGGATCACCGTCACCCGTTCTCAACTGCATGTTAACTAAACCAAGAAAATTGCCTCCTTCACATCTTCCATTTCCGATAACCTCTCTGTGGCCACGAAAAGGCAGGCACAGGTTTGCCAAAGTCAATATGATCACTATTATTCTACGCAAAACCTCATGCCAGAAGTTCTTGATCTTTGCAATCTCAGCTTCATTTAGCATGTTGATACCTTTGCCTGCCTTTAACTGAGCAAGACTCTTCGTAGCTTCTTTATGAGCAATGCTTTCTTCATGCCTTTCAATTTGTTGCTTCAGGCGCTTTGTGTTTGGGATAAAGCCATCTATCCATGGACTATCTTTAAGTATTCCGTGCCAGCAACCAGCAATTGTGACAATATACAGTGCCTAGTTTCTCTGAGCAGCTAAACCAGTCCCTTTTCACAGAAAATAATTTCAAATTCCTACACAAACATTGAAAGAGATTATCTTTACGCAGATATTTCCTCAAGCGAATACGTATTGGGTTATCAATGTGTATGGGACTAGGAAAAGTGTTCATATCGAAAGTACTCACCTATAATAATAATGTGCAGGATTAAATGTCTGTCCACTCTCGATTTTAATCATTTTACTCGGTTGGCAACTGCCATGCCTCGCTAGAACTTCAATTAAGTTGTTAGATAACTCGTTTTTGAAATGTCCACGATCTGATGGGTAAGTATTACAAGGATCAAAATCTTTCAGTTCTGTATATTTTCTATCTGAAAATAAAATTATGATGAACATATGATGATTGATGGAAACTAGTATGTAATCTTAATGGTTTACGTTTGGCTTTGTCTAGCTATCTTTCTATAACTCATATTTAAAGAAAAACATTACAGTACCTAATATGTTATCAGTATTACTCGAAGAAACCGTCAACATATGGTCAATGCGATCAGTATCAACTGGGGCTTTAGCTGACTCACTACTTTTCAAATTATCTGGAAAGTGGAAAAAATATAAAAACTGTACGTACTGTCCAAAATTAAGTAAAGATTTCAATAATTTAATCATTAATTCAATGACTTATTCACTTCAACTTTATTTAATATATCGATTTAAAAATGCAAAAACGTATCAAAGACAAAATGATAAAAATGCAGTAATGAACAATTATTGATAACAACCCTGTTCCTGTTGTACGGGTGATGATGATGATCCACTTGAAGAAATTTCTTCGGACTCGTTCGAAGTCGAAGAAGTTGGTAATGGTTCGGATTCAAGTTCAACGCACTCATTACTGGTAGTTTCTGCCGCTGCACGAAACAAGTTGGTTATTTTCGGGATCTTTGAATTGATAGCTGTTTGTTTTTCGCTCTGGATTTTTCTCTTATTGCGTTTCTGAGCCCCTGAAAGTTCCTTTAATTTCCCCATCTAAGGCTCTAACTCTAGAGTATTTAAAAGCAAAATTAATATTATTGAAAACAATAATTAAATACTGTAAATATTGTATGTATATTTTATATATTGATCTGTCTTCGTTAAACTTTATTCTTTATGGCTTACCTTTATGACTTTATCCTTTATTTAGATTGAAATGTTACTCATCCAACCGTGACACAGAGTAAGGATATCCTTACCACTGAGCTATATAGCTCAGTGATCCTTACTCTGTGACCGTGACGCCATATTAAATACGTAGGTGCTTCCACTGTTTAAGTTTAAAATTCCAGTGCTTCCACGGATAAGGTTAAAATTACATATTTCAAAATTACACGCGCGCACATGAGAAATTGATTTGAAACGAATCATCAATGATAATGTACTTTTCGCCTCAAATATTCTTGTTCTCTGGTACGATTTCGCTCTCTAGCCTTTGAATTGAACCTTTTTATATGTAAGTTCGTGCGATTTCTCTTGTTTTATTCATAGAATTACAATAACCTTCTAATCTCACAGGGGCCCCCTTAAGCCAGGGGGCCCGCGGGTTTGCACACCCTGAGCCCATAGTAGTTACGCCACTGGCCGGATGACTCAATGGCAAAGCGTTAATAGCCAATATTTTTATTATGTGGTAAAAAAATGTCACCCTTTTCTGCAGGCGTTTTATAGAACCTACCAGCTTAGTTAACTGTTAAAATTTAACAATCATTGAAGAATGATTTTACTTGTTACACCTCACAGCAGGTGGAATACAATGCAAAACAAAATATTTACGAAGGAAATAAGAAATTTATGTAATGTGATTTTATAAATAGACTACTAAGGCAAGGTGTACCCCCAAGGGGATACGCCTTGCCGACGATAATTAAAAATCTTATATTATGGGCTTTGCGTCCTATCTAAAAGACCGACAGGTAATGGATGGCACGCAATATGGGAAAGGTGGTGAATGGCCAGCAGCAAATCGAAAACTAACAAAGACCGAATACCCAAACCACAAACGGTCAGTTTAAGCGTGACATCGCAAAAGACAGAGCTCCTATAAACGGAGGAACGTTATATCTTAATTAGTGATGGTCGTAGGCCGTATCTACAAGTGCTGGCGGTAATTTGCCTCCACCCTTTTCTGAGCGTAAATATTTGGAATTTTAATGCAATGTATTAATAAATATCGTTTTGTTTAACAGAAATAAAGCGGCTAGGAGAACCATTACTCCTAGCCAAAATTATCCCAAAACGGCGTAAAATTTAATGTGTCTTTATTGATGCTCAGAAAACTGAGCTGCGGAAAGGGTATGCAAAATTCATGGCTGGCAATATATCTATGCGTAAATAAATCACATTACATAAATACGTATAAGTCGAAAAATAACATACCTCTTTATTATACCACTGGTCTTTTTCTCCCAAGAATAATTTAAATCGCTTTTACCAGTCATTTTAGCCGTTTTAATTTTATCTCCAATTAAACCTGCGACAAATTGTATCACCAAATGCCACTTGGGATCTCGAAAATGTGTCTCCAGGAATACTTCAACATTTCGCATATCATCGGTAACCACCTTTGATGCTGCAAGAAACTCTTGAAGTGTCAAGTGTAGAAAGCAAAAGAAATTTCGACTGTCAGGTAATTTGTTAAATAAGCCACAATTGGCTAGTTCGCCAAATTCATCGCCTGTTCGCTCAAAAATTGAACTTTCGTTTTTCATTGCATCCATTGCAACTTGTGTTATCTTCATCAAGTCCTTATCGAGTTCTTCGGGTAAAGGATAGTCGAGGTAATCATTTGGCCTTGGTAGCAACTTGAATTTTGGATTGTGTCTATACATTAGGACTTTAACTGCTCTTTTATATAATTCAGTTATAGTTTTTGGAATATTCATTCGAAAACCCTTATGATGTAGTCCCTCATTTATATCAAATTGAATGCTTTCTTTCAACGTTAAGCAAACGATGTAACTATTTACAGGTATGTAGCAAAAGCTTAGCAGTTCCGCTGATTCTTGAATTTGATTCCAAATCAATTCACCGGTGTCCTTATCATTCTCACAAAATTTAATTACGTACTTTTTGATTTGTTCACGAGAAAACCCTAGGATCTCCACAATGTTTTCAAAACCCAAGTATGCATAAATAGGCTCTGCTGAAGGGCGTGATGTGATCAATATTGTGACACCTTTCAACAATTTACCGTGAACTAACTTTTCAAGAATCGAAAAAACTGGCATTTTGTCAATTAGACTATTAACTGTCTTTTTTTTCGTACACAAAAGCTCTCTATCAACAACAAGTTCGTCCAATCCATCAAAAACAAGAATTATATTTGTTGGGTTTGATAATATAAAATCATACACAGTTTGGAAAGTACTATACGACAGTCCTTCGCCATAACCTAACATTTCTCGAAGAGAAATAGTTTTGTTGTTGATTAGGAGGCGTAATCGGATAACGATAATTATCTTATCCCTCCAGAACTGCTCTTTGTTTTCTTTCCACTGATGCAGAAGCTTTTTTGTCAACATAGTTTTACCAATTCCAGGTCTCCCTATGACAAGTATGCTTCGCGGGTAGGTCTGGTTCTGGCAAATTTTGAGGGGTTTAAATATTTCTATTGTGCTGGTAAGCTTGGTTACCAAGCTTGGGATCTCAAAATGGCAATTGCAAATTTTCTTCCGGTCAAAAACGTGTGGATAAGCGTTTATTTGTTCCCTCCCTTCTTGGATGACCACATTTACATAAATATCTTTAAAATTTCGAAATGAATTAGCAAGATCACCAAAATCATCATTTAACTGGAACGTTTCTTCACTGAATCTCTCCCGCACTTTATTCACAAATTTTCTAATTCTCTTTCGTTTTCGCAGCAAGTATACGGTACAGAATTCTCTGTCACTCATAAGATCCCTATCATTGTAAATTATCCACGCGAGATAGCCAAGCTCTAAGAAAGTCAGTATTACCAGGACAACATCCGCAATTGCAACTGTAATAACTATGGTTTTGCTTCTCGAGGCATTTGGATTAATGCAGTAAACGGTCGTTACGTTATAGCGTGAGTTGTTGGTATAATTGAAAGACGACGTGACCTTTTTTGGCATTTCATTTGGCCAGGGACAAAGAAAATTCTCAGGAATATCAGCTTGGTAAAATACAAATATGACAAATGTCAACAATGGAATTATACGAGCGATGAAGAGATGAGCGATATAGATCCACAATGTTGACACACGAATCCGACAATCTACACTAAAACTTTCCGGGTTTAGATGGATGTATGATAGTGTTGAAAGCATCGCGTGATTTTCCTCGCTGTCATTAGAACTTGATGTATCGGTCGGAGGAGAGTCAAATCTCTCAACGCGACGTTTTACCAAATATGCATAAATAATACTGAAGACTAAAACGGTCATAAGCCGAACGATGCATATACGAGACATAGGCACACTAAATTGAAATCTTTCTTTATAGTGAACAGAACACTTCATTTTACAGTTTCCAAGTAAAGTCTCGTTCTCCAACTTCGAGGTGAGCTTAACATTGTAACAGTGAAATTTGCTATCAAAATCTAGAGCGGCACCCAAGATGATAATAACCACGAGGTTAAACAATGTGAATAACGTGAGAAGAACAATATTATACGTATTGAAGCTCTTTCGTGGTATAAGTTTGCCAAGTTGTGGAACACCAGTTTTCATTTTGAAACCTGTCCCTAAATTTTGTAACTTCAGTTATAACTAGGTACTATAAAACACTGGATAAATCAGTAAAATTTAATGCTAAATCACACTATATACAGATTACAGACAAACAGGTACAGTCGCTTCGGCGCCTGTGCGAAGTGCATGTGCTCACACAAGGACCACCGCCAAACTTAAGGTGCTGTTACACTATGCAACTTGCCTTGCAAGACGCAATGCTAATTTTGAGGGATGTTAATTGGTAGTGTTCGAAATGCTAAAAAAACGTTAGCAGATCGTAAGAAATGTACGTATTTGTCAAATTTATAGATGCCTCAGAAGTAGAATTATATTGCAAGTTGCAAGGAAAATTGCAAGGAAACCTTTTACACAAGATGTATATATAATATATATATATATATATATATATATATATATATATATATATATATATATATATATATATATATATATATATATATATATATATATATCAACAAATTACAATCTTAAAATTTTTTTTAAAATTTTATTTCGCTACACTGTGTTTCACGTACTTCTACCGTGTACGATCATCAGGCGATTACTAACACGCAATTAAGATGTAACGGTTATGCACACGCGTTTCTGATTGTTAACGCAAGCGCTTAAATGTACCAGTTTGCGCGCGCTTAACATAACAGGCCTTAAAGCCAAATCTATGTCGGCATCTACTGAATATTTCAGATCTTTTGTTCAACGACTCTTCTTTATTAGATAACATGATAAGCCTTTTTTCCTCAATACACAGCGGGCAAACATTCATTCCGGGGTTCGCCGAGGGAACTTGTTTCATTATCGACCATTTTATTTGGAATGGTTCGTGTTGCGCTTTAAGCTTCCAAATATATTTTGATAGTTCCGTTTCACCGGAGTAACATTCATGCTTGAATGATTTTAGATGGTTGCTGTATCTTAGTTTGAAGCTGCCTGCTGTCATACCAATGTAGTGCTTGATCTCTTTCCCATTGTTAGATCGGACTTCTGCTTTGTATACGATGCTTTTCGTTAGGCAATTGCCGTTTAATGGGCATTCGTCTTTAACTCGACAGTTACATGGTTTCAAGGTAGGTTGAGAGCTAGTATTTTGTTGCTTTAGAATTCTATGGTTGCTGCTTGATATTGACGATCTGACATTTTTCATACAGGAGTAACTCACTTTCACCGAGTTCCGATTGAAAATTTTATGAAGAGGGCACGAATAAGCATTTTCCAAAATCGTGCCCTCTTCATAAAATTTTCAATCGGAACTCGGTGAAAGTGAGTTACTCCTGTATGAAAAATGTCAGATCGTCAATATCAAGCAGCAACCATAGAATTCTAAAGCAACAAAATACTAGCTCTCAACCTACCTTGAAACCATGTAACTGTCGAGTTAAAGACGAATGCCCATTAAACGGCAATTGCCTAACGAAAAGCATCGTATACAAAGCAGAAGTCCGATCTAACAATGGGAAAGAGATCAAGCACTACATTGGTATGACAGCAGGCAGCTTCAAACTAAGATACAGCAACCATCTAAAATCATTCAAGCATGAATGTTACTCCGGTGAAACGGAACTATCAAAATATATTTGGAAGCTTAAAGCGCAACACGAACCATTCCAAATAAAATGGTCGATAATGAAACAAGTTCCCTCGGCGAACCCCGGGAATGAATGTTTGCCCGCTGTGTATTGAGGAAAAAAGGCTTATCATGTTATCTAATAAAGAAGAGTCGTTGAACAAAAGATCTGAAATATTCAGTAGATGCCGACATAGATTTGGCTTTAAGGCCTGTTATGTTAAGCGCGCGCAAACTGGTACATTTAAGCGCTTGCGTTAACAATCAGAAACGCGTGTGCATAACCGTTACATCTTAATTGCGTGTTAGTAATCGCCTGATGATCGTACACGGTAGAAGTACGTGAAACACAGTGTAGCGAAATAAAATTTTAAAAAAATTTTAAGATTGTAATTTGTTGATTTATTTGCTCTACTATTGTATTGGTATTGAGCACTCTGATTTACTACGCACAGATCCAAATTTGCGTATATATATATATATTATACATATATATAATATATATATATTATATATATTATATATATATATATATAAAATCTTAAAATTACAATGATTGTTCGCTACTCAGAGTTTCACGATCTTTCTCTGAGTAGCGAACAATCATTGTAATTTTAAGATTTTAAATAATAATAATATAGCTCTGCTTTTCATATATATATATGTATACAACCGTTATTGTAACCAAACGACAACTGAAAAACTTAAAAGGAATTTTAACGAAATCGGAATTTTCAACGTCCAACGCCACGCCAACTGTGACAAAGTGCAATGAACCTCGTTGCGGCACATGCCCTCATATAATCACCGGGGACAAAATTGAACTGAAGAATGGAAAAACGTGCATGGATGGTTAAATATGACATGAACTGTAAATCTAATGGAGTTATTTACATCATAATCTGCCCAAAATGCCACAGTTTCTACGTGGGAACGACTGAAAACCTTAGAAACAGAGTAACTTTGCATAAGCAGCATATTAGACACGAAGAATATCGACATTTAACCGTCAGTGAACACCTATCTAAATGTAGCAAAGGCAACTTTAACATTATGCCGAAATATAAGTGTATCAACGCTAATAGACTAATAAGAGAGGCCAAAGAGAAACAAATAATTAGAACACTAGAACCTAATCTTAATGCATGCTAATTTTTATCTTTGTAAATAACACTACTTTAACATAGTCACACTAAATAGGATGTATCATATTACACTATATGTAAGTAAACAAAATAACCACTGTCATCATTTATCACCTGAAGAACTAAGAGAGCGAAAACGTTTGTGAATAAAGTGATATTAAAAAATACAAAGCAGTGGTTATGTTCGAATAATATAATAATAATAATATCAGATCAACTTCAAAACAACCAATCAGACGCTCTCAACGTATACCGAGTCTTAAAGAACAGCGCAAAACTTAAATATATAAAGCTATACGTATGTAAATAATTTGGATATTCTGAAGAAGACTCGAAGTACCGAGTCGAAAGCTCATTCATTGACAAACAATACATATATATATATATATATATATATATATTATATAATTATATATATATATATATATATATAATATATATATATATATATATACATTAAGTGAACATACATAACAAAAGATGTGAACTCTTTTATATATATATATATATATATATATAGATAGATACTCGAAATCTAATTAGAATTGCATATGTTGTGTAATATGATTGAAATCCCATGCAAATATAATCATGGCAATTCTAATTAGACTTGGAGTATCTATCTATCTATCTATCTGCGGCCAACGTTTTTGCAAATGGGTGTATATATATATATATATATATATATATATATATATATATATATATATATATATATATTAAATAATTATATATATATACATATATATATATATATATATATATATATTATATATATATATATATATATATATATTGTTTGTCAATGAATGTTCTCCGTATGTATGGTAAGGTAATTGTTTTATTTGACACTTCAGGTTCTCTTTGTGATTCATTAGTTTCATTAGTTTGTTTGTTGCTCAGTTTCGTTAGTACCTAGTTAATGAAATTTTTGGGTAGTTATTCTTTTGGAAAGTTAAGTACAAGTATTTGCGTTCCGCTTGTTTCGCTTCTTATGTGTAACAGTGTGTGTCTATTCGGTTAAGTTACGTCATAATGCAGCTTAATTTGTGCTGAGTTGGGTGGTTACTGTTAAAATTTAACAAAGTACTAACGAAACTGAGCAACAAACAAACGAATGAAATGAATGAATCAAAAAGAGAAGTCCTAAAGTATCAAATAAAACAATTACCTTACCATACATTCAGAGCACATGAGAAATGACTGCCAGACTACTTCCGCCCTTTTAATGTTGACGTAGCACATAAACCAGCGCACAAACTTAGGTCATATTTTACAAAACACAAGGACAAAACGATAGCCACTGAAACAAGAAATGCCATGCATCTACCGGATTCCTGGCAAAGACTGTCCACAACGATACATAGGTCAAACCTCGAAGAAAATCTAAACCCGAATAACTGGACACAAGAACGCTATAAAACGACACGACCTTAAATCCCTACCCGCAGCCCCCGGGAAGCTTACAAAAGACCCTGGGTACGAGGTTGCCCGCAGCACACACAATACGACAACTTTCCTACCTTCGCCTGGAGAAAAACTGAACTACTGAACTCAAAGAAGCTTGGTTTAGTAAATACGATAATACTATTAACACATATATCGACATGCTTGCAGTCTACCAGCAACTTAAGACAAAACGTAAAGACTCTATAAATAATCACGTTCATATAACTAATAAGAACTTAAACCTTGATCCACCCGCATCTGATACACAACAATCTAATCATTCCACAGCGACATCCCTCCCTGACAACGAAATGCAGCCAACCATGAAAACGCATCCCTCAATCACCACTCATATGAACTTCAAAACAACCAATCAGAGTTTTAAAGGGTCTTAATTTCGAGTGGAATTATACACACTTCAAATTTACCAACATCGAGTGAAGTGCCAAAAATCATAATCGATTTACCCTCACCTATTCCTGGCGTCACCTTCCTATGTACACATTAACCACGCTTTCTCTTGTCAGCTACCTCTGTAGCTCAGTGGCAAGAGCATTGTACTGGCATCGCAGAAGCGTAGGTTCGATTCCTGCCGGAGGACCGATATACATATAGCACCGCACTAATTGTTCAGTCAGTGACAGTGACTTGTACGAGGTTTGTTTTCCGTCAAATGTCCAAATGCTCGCTGTCAAAATGGGGACATTTTCAAAATTTTAGAACTCTTTTGTTCACAGTTCTCGTTAGAATTCACAAATAGTTTTTTTTAATTAAAGAGCGCTGGCCTCGATAAGCGCGGCATCTGAAGTTTAAAGAGCGCCGTATTTCTATATTTACTCGTTTAAGCGCCGACAGTATAGCTGAACGTAAATAAAGGCACAGAACGCTTTTTGCAAGTAAGAACAAGTTATTCAAATCCAAAAATTCAGTAACCTAGTATAAAATTCGACAAAATACCACCACACATTAGCAAACGACGGCATCATGCGTTAGCGAATGTGCTAATGTGCACGCGGCAAACAAATTTAGGGATTATCATCATCAAAGTGGACTGCTTTGATTGAAAAACATTAAATATATTATTTAACAATTAGACAACGAGTCCGAGTTGTGCAAATAGTCAACGAAGTCGAAGCCTCAGTTGACTATTCGCTCATAGACAACGAAGGCGAGTTGTCTAATTGTTTTAGTATACCCCCTGTACCTAGATATATTGATTTCGAGAAAATAATCTATACACCGCAATTACACCGAAAAATAATTTGATTCATTCAATTTTATACGGTCGCGCGAGCGAATTTTTTTCCAAACGTTCACCATCAAGAATAGACACTGGTTGAGTAGCCAATCACAATGTAGGATTTGTAATAGACAATAGTCGGGTGTATACTAATGATAATTGGTGATAGCTTGGTATAAATTGATATGCCTGCGTGTGTGTGTGCGGGGGGGGGGGGGGCTATAGTTGAGCTACTTGTGATTTAAATAAGAGCCTGTTTACAGGAGCGGGTTAACCGGTTAGGCGAGGTAAAATTAATGCGCATCACATCAAGGCTCAACCTGATTCGTTTTTCATAATATGCAGTTTTCACCTCGCCAAGCCGGGATAACTCGCTCCATGCGAACAGGCCCTAATACCGGCATCGTGCACGAAATCAGCTTGCCGATTTAAATTTTAACAGCCATGAACTAATGTATATTTCTTTATACAGAACTGTCTGGACTGATCTGATATTTATTTGCTGCAATCCTTAACCGCGCTAGTGGGTCTGAAGTATCCATATTAGATTAACACTAGCTGTTACTTCATTGATACTCAGACACACTAATTCTGCTCGGAGAGTAGGAATTACACCCGGATATTGTGACAGAACATAGCAGAATCCGAACTGTACAAGACCATGGAAGTTGGACAAAGCTCCCACATGCGCAGAAGCGACTGTAATCTTGCTTTGCAATCAAATGTGTGAATTAAAATTAGTACTGATTCACTGAATTTCAAATAGGAAAAAAGATCGTCCTTCACAGCAAAAATGGACGAAATATTGTTATACATAATAATATAAGCTTTAGAAGCTGTTTAGAATATAGAGAATAAACGATATTACCTTACTTTAGCCTTTACCATAATCTATATCTAGCTCGACATCAACCATTTCAATCCAATCCAACTCAACAATTCTGCTTAGTTCGCTAAATACTCACTGAATAACATCGGTGCATATTAGCTGTATGCTAACACATTCGGTTACTTTAAATCGTTTTGTTTCAGGTACGGAAACGGTTGGTGTGATATCCAATAGGATTTTACCGACCTAATAAGTGTAGATGTAGATGTAGATGAAAGTCGACAGAATCTAGTACTTTTGGTCACCAGTATATTCCTTGTAGAAGACTTTTGACTGTTTTTTTGAAGGAATTTCAAAATCACTGCGTAGGAGGAGGCTTTTGTTTTGCAAATAAGTTGCCTTTATTGCAGTTGCCTCCCACAGACTAAGGTATTTTATCTCCACTTGTGAGATAATTAGGCAAACAGAAGCGGATGTTATGTTGTGTTTTCACAATTGATATATCGTAATGTGGCACACATTTGGAATAGTTAAATACGTATATTAGTTAATAAATATAAAAATGTTGACACGATCTGCATTATAACAGAATAAAGTTTTTTTCTAAAAGCCTTCTTATCAATTTGCTTTCGTGTCTCTTTGAATGATCACACAGCGAGATTGGAATTCCGCAAGCAACCGCAAATTTTAATGACAATATAGCTGTGCGTCAAATGTTATTGAATTTTAAATTTTGTTTTATTCGAATCGAAATTGCTATTCGAATTCAAACTAATGTTATTCGAATTCAAATCATGTTATTCAAATCGTTGAACGACGAAAGGTAAGACAGCACACATAATAGTGTCTCTTTATACAGTGTAGTTCCTGGCCTCATTTGAATTAATTTTCATCGAATTCTGTTATTCGAATCCACACTATGTTATTCGAATAAAAGAAACATATATAATGAGAGTTAGCACAACAGAATTTCTAGCTGAATTATAACCGTAAGAACGCTTCACAAAGCCGGTTTTCCACTAGCGATATATTTCGCGCGAAGCGAAAAAGCGATTTTACTTTTGTTTCAGAGCTGTCAACTGCAACCATCTGGAAAAAATTGCTCAAATACAAAAGAGTAAAGTCGCTTCGCGCGAAAAATAACGCTACTTGCTAGTGGAAAATCAGTTTAAAGGGGTACCTCTTACCATTTTTAACGAATTGACGATTTCCGAAATTTTTTTAAAAATCTGTTAACATTTTAAAAATAGCTTTAAATATTGATTACTTTGGTTTTTGAGCATATTGGGTTAGTATTTGGAACATTGGAAAATTCGACCATTTCGGCCAAAATTATGTTGAAACATGACACTCGCTGAGCGTTTACTAGAGCTAAAGGAGTGTTTTTGCTTGATAGTGGGCTTTTAGCCGGAGAAAGTTTATAAATGAGAGCAGAAGATGGGCGGACACTGCAAAAACAACGCGTTAACTTAAAACGAGGGCTATCTTTAATGGGAAGGGGAATGGGGAGTCTGTCAATTGCCCATATCCATTTTAGCAACATATTATTATTAAATTTTGAAATATATGAACTAGATCGAGTGTCGAGAATTTGCCTCCAAATGTGATCCTCAACAAGTCACATAGTTTTCATAGTATATTTATATTTCCCAAGTAAAGAATTCCAAATGTCTATTATAAATTTCCAAATGAATCTCACCACTCACACCGTCAGATAGCACACGGGCTATAAATTACTCTCTCTCGCTCACTATAGTTCCTCAGTCACTGAATGTCTCAGTCCAACTAACTCTCTCGCTCTCGTGACCACATACACCTTCATCCTATCAATCACTGTTACATAACTAGAATATAATTAAGCAAAGGAAACATTTGTCTATATAATCATCTTATCTGTCAATTTCCGACACGAGTACACAAAATATGCGCTCAGTCGTTTAGCTTTCTCCGAAAACACAAAGTATGCGTACAGACGTTTAAATTTTCATCGCCCAGAATGTGCGTGCAGTCGTTCGGCTTCAATCGAGTCCACAGAATATGCGTTCAGTTGCTTAGTTTTGGTCGAGTATACAGAATATGCGTGTATAGCTTCGATCGAGTATACACAGAATATATATGCGTGGATTCGTTTAGTATAGTTTGATCGAGAACAGAGAATATGCGTGCAGTGTCGTTTAGCTTTGATCATAGACAATCCAAAAGACAAGACTTTTGTCTTTTGGATTGTCTATGCTTTGATTGAGTGCGTACGCTTTCTAAGCGTAGATTCACAATTACGCTTTTTGTTAACCTAACGTGTCGTATGCCAGAAAACAGTCTTCACCCGCAGCTGATGTTAAGGCTATTCTCCATTACCGTCCGCTTCATCCGCGCGGGCGAAGCGGCTTTTGAAAATCTGCCCATGCGACCGTGACCGCCCGGAAAAACAAAGCGCGCTTCGCCCGCGTGAGCGTACGTAATGTAGAATCGCCTTTAAAGCACAAAGAAGCTGGAAGTCGAATGAGCCGCTGAATTTAGTACGAAGAAACAGGAAGTTGAACGAGCCGCTGAACGCCAATATAGATGGATGATAACGGTTTATTTGGCCAAAATGAAGTTTGGCCGCGTGGGAGAATAAGTCTCGCAAGAAAAACAACGAACCGAATTTAAGACTCTCGCTTTAGCTTGAGTAATAAATGTTAAATAAATATGATAGGTGAATAAAAATATCTACAATCCCTCGCGAACATCTTCGTCTCTTATATTATAATTTCTTATCTTCGCTTTTACCTGGGAGGGTGTCCATTTACCAGCTGCCTTGGCAGACAGCGCAGCCTTGGAACACTCTGGCTTGAGATGCACGTGACTAGGCTGACCTTTGACCGTGAAACTGTCCGTAGTTGAGGAACTTTCCCGAAGCTGAGACTTGCTGACTTCGCCCCCGCGATTTCCACGAGGGGTGAATCCAGGACTGTCCTCGTCTAGTAGTTTCCAGACATCTTGTAATGACGCGCGGTCGTCTGATGAGAACGAGGGTTGCCATGGTGAGACGATGTCGTCACGACCAGTAGACGTTTCCGGTAGGCCTGCGTTTTCTGCGAGTTCCGTGTTTGGAGAGTGTTTTTGAAGTGTTTGGGCCGACGCGGAATTCTTTTTCCGAGGAGATAGCGAATGCTGATCATTATTCCTCGCTAGTGTTTTCTGTGCATACTGCAGTTCTTTGCTCGTTAGTTGATATTGCAACTGTTCCAAACCCCGTAGTTGGAATCGGGATGTTTGCGCCACATTCTGCGGATCTTTGGATAATTGACTCGCTTCAATTGAAGGCGATTTTCTTCCTCCTAATATAACGATAGAATGAGAGTCTAAGATCGAAACGGTGACAGCGGTACAATAAATATAATCGATTTCACATTTCAGCATCTGTCATAATGTCTAAGCGGGCACGCTGCGGAGAAACAAGAAATTTTCGTGTTCTCAATAATTGTGGTTTTTCTCAACTTCTATGTAATATAGGTTTAAAGTTTTGTTCTTAACAATTTATCAAAAATGTTCTGAAGACACTCTGCAAAACAATTTCATTTCATACTTGGATGCATTAAACGAATGTTTAGTCCACCCGTTTTCGGTACATTTTCGCGTAAGTTTAACTTATATCTTATCAATGAACACGCATGTCTTGTTTCAACAGTTCCTATTGAAATTTTCCACCATATTCCTTTTTGCCTGCTAGCGTGCGCGCAGACGTTTTCCCGCGGTGTTCTGGGGCCTGGTCACGCCTACATGTGGTAGTGACGTAATCATCGCGGGAAATTTTTCACAGTTAATCTTTTGCGAACAACAGAAGCTACGCGTCATGACTATACGAAAAATGTATTCAATACTCATTCACTAGTTTCCAGTAATGTATTTCGACTAATCACGAATATATATGTATTAATGCCATCTTAATAGATATACCAAAACATCCTTTCAAATACCTTTATATTTCAACAATTCAGCTCTCAGCTTATTTCCCATTTTAATCAACTGTTCGCGTTCTTTTGTTAATCCATTAATTCGTTGAGCAGCTTGACGTAGTTTGGTGTGTAATCCTTCAGATGAAGATACTACTCCTTTCATACCAGGGACTTCTGAAAAAAAAGGAAAACGTTTAAAATTCAAATCCTGTCTAAATCATTTAGAATTTTATGAAGTGAATTGAGGGTTTGTTATGTGTTGATGAGAAATTTTAAGTTTTCCAGGGCAAATCAACTTTCAGTTTTGGAAAAAGTCGTAATTTACCAATTGTGAACGGGTTGGAATGAAATTTATCTCCATAGACAGCCGTCATAGCTATATCACGCTATTTCAGGTGGATCAAGACAGCAAGGGATATGCATTCTATATATGGTCTAACAACTGACAGTGGTTGGGTTACATCGCAATCTATACGTTTCAATTAATTCAGTAGATTTAGAATGTTCTACGGCAGTCGTGATTGTTAAGATTCTAAACACAAATACAAATAGTATTTCAAAAGCGTCAGAAAGTACACTCACCATTCTGTCGAAGGTCTTGTATAAACTGACTTTCTGGATTGTACGTATTCAAAGGTTTTCCGTGACTGGCAAGATCCAATTTTAATGCTGACAACTGCAGAAAAGCAATGAGAAAATCTGTCATCTCCTGTCTGTCACACAATTCTTGACTAGATGTTACTAATAATTCTATCTCGGGTAAATTATCTGCGACAAACATTAACCCATACTTTCATAAACGATATCTGCAGAAACTCGAATTTCTGTCTAATTACACCGAATACAAAAATTTCGGACATTATATACGCTCAAAAAACAGATAAGTATGAAACAATTATCAGTAATTCTTCGCCTGTATGCCGTGTTACACTCTCACTCATTGAGTGTGATACACAAATTTTGTTATCACTGATCAAAGAGAAAGTTATTTCTTAATCGATGCAAAGATTTAAGGTAAAACACTGAAAATTAAGCTCTTATTCGAGTGGAAATACCGCCATGGAAATGTTATGACTTAGATTGAGATCTCCCACTCAACAAGTTCGAGTGAGGTTACAGAATACAGGCATATGGCTGTCACAACTGCATGATATCTCAGGTTCAGCATTATAGCTGCTCGCTTTGTTGCTCAGTGAATCTCCCAGGATGTTACTGACATTCCTGCCCTCCAGCTGATAACTAATCAAATCCTCTCTTAACTGCTTGCGGTTTTAAAAGCACATATAAATAGTCGTTTGATCTTGCAGTAACCAGCAACACGGTAAAGTATAATTGAAAGTGGGTTCACCGTTAAGCTTCAGACTGTGATACATTTACACGTTTAATTTGTTTTAATGTTATATACCTAAAGAATGCCTTTATTATTTCCATTTTGCATCTGCAATCTAGTTATTGAACAATATCATCGAACTAACCTGGTTTCCTAATGATACAGCATCAATATTTCTCTCCAAACCCGTTTTGTAAAATTCGTCAGCCTGGTGTCTTGCTTGGGTTACCTGTAGCTTGAGATCAGAGTTCTGCTGCTTCAAAGCATTAATTTCTTCGTTGGCCCGACGATTCTCTGTTGTCAACTGATAGTGAAGTTGATCAATGTTTAGTTGCTTCTGACGAACCTAAAAAGAGAAAAAGCGTTGATCATCAATGCTCGACACAGTTTTCTAAAATCTAGGAATGTAGCACTTTAATACCAGCCCCATTTACACTATAGACTAAATTTATCTGCACGGCACGGATGAAATTGGTGCCAGTGCCAAGTTCTATTAGTCTTCAGGCTACCCAATACAAAGGCCGAGAACGCGGATGAATGGTACGGGTACCCATTTTAGCAGTGCGCTGTCGATAAATTGAGTGTGGTGTAAAAGGGGCTACATGTATCATCAGCCCTCCTGGCTTGACCTACAGGAAAAAGCAGTTTTGTTAGGATAACTTTCTAGTTGGCAGTTGGGATACACGAGCGCCTATAGCGCTTGCATGGTGTGTCCGGGAAAGAAAAAAAAACAATCAACACTCCGCCTGTTTAATTGTATCATTTTGATTTAAAGAAAGTCTAACAACTCAAAATATATTAAAACATTCGTAACAGAATAAATCGATGTTTAGTACAACTATTAACCATCATTTTCTGCGGTGGATTGCTGTAAATAATGCAGTAACTCACTCTTTAAACATTACTTACTGACCAGACTACTCTTTAAACGTTACTTACTGACCAGTCAGATAAGTACACACAATAAAAATACGAGAACATATTATCACAAACATTCTCAGCGATGACGGATAAAAATACAAGTGAAGTCTATAACCATTTAGAGAAGGAGACTCACCTCTTCTGAAGAATGATGAAGTAAACCTTGAAGATGAACGATAGTTGCTTCACATTTTCTCCATTGAGATGTAAGGTCTAATTTCTCTTGACGTAAACTACCTAAAGACGTGCAAGAATATATATTGTGAAATAGGCAATTATATAAATATATATATTTCCAACACGAGGAATAATTAGTTGAACTTTGTAACTTTTACAACTGCTGTTGTACATATGGTTGAACTTTGGCATCTACCACTTACCGATCGTGCTGTTCAGCTGTGCCACCAGACCTCTTATATGAACATTATCCTTACTTCCATCTAAAACGTAAGTTGGCTCAGTATTTTCAGTTTTAGCATTTGTATTAACCGTGGATTGGGTCAGTTCGTGGTTTCTCGCCTTCACTTCTCGAATTTCTTTTTCCAGACTTCTTACATATTCTGAAATGTTTAGTTAAGAAATACCAGATTAACTCCATTCACCCTGATCTTTGTTACGATCACTATAACGAATAGTCATTCTAAAAACATGTCTTTCAAAATACAGTAGCTATATATCTTTAGTATATTTTCAGTATTGAAAAATGGCCTTTGAGCATTCTGATTGGCTCCCTCAGCAGTAACTCTGAGGCAATAGCTACTACGCAGAGCAGTCTGCGCAATAACTATTGCTTTTGCCCAAAAAAAAACATGGCTGAAAATACTCAAAATCGTTAAATTCAAAATTATATTCATAAAATAAACACGTGTATCAATTGTATTTAAAAATAAAACTTTTTCAATACTGAAATTATACTCAGGCTCGGTGATTACATATAGGCTTGTAATCACCTCGCCTTCGGCGACTAATTGTTAAACAGTATAGAATGGGGATAGCCTACCCAGTGAGCACACGACGTCGTTTCGACGTTGATTAATGGTTGAATTTTGGTCGCGACGTCGATCAACCCAATATCGACTTCGTTTCGACGTCGATTTCACGACGTCATATCGACGTCGCAAACTGACGTTGTTTCAACGTTGTTTCGACGTCAGGTAAAACTAGAGTTTGCTGCGTTTGCCGCATTTAAATTGTATATGAATTCACAACAATATTGGGAAAGTGTTGTGAACATCATATATGCAGTGTAATGATGTGTTTTTGTCAGGTCGTTAAAGCGTCGATATATCAACCTATTCTCGACGTCGTTTTCGCGACGTTTATTCAACGTTGTTTCGACGTTATATAAAAACTTTACAGTACCAGCTTGCAAAGATCGCAATGGTAATAATATCATTCCTGATAGATAGTTAGGACGAATGTTGCGATTTTAAGAAGTTAATTTCTATGTAACAGACTATTTAAAACCTTTATTAAATACCTCGGGCCTCCCCGGAGCAACATCGGTCATGCATCGTTGGTAGAGTGCGCGCAGTGCATTTCGGGAAGGTCGAATTGAGCGCGTCTATTTGAAAATTGAAACATGTTGTCGCGAACGGAATATGAAACATTGTAGCTGTATATTTCGGGATATTTTCACAGGATTTTCTCAGTTTAATGGTTGGATATCTTCACATAAATCCAAGAAAGCAGTAAAGGTTAGTGAGAGTCAGTTTTACAGTGTGTATTGCCATGACAAAGGCCATGAATCGCGAGATATGAATACGCGATCGTGACATCGTGATTATATTTTGAAATTTAAACGTTTAAAACATTGCCCAAACTTTTTGATTCTCTTTTAAAAATGGTTCAGCTAAACAAATAAAGATACTTGCTCATTAGATTTTGTTAATTTATGTTTCAACGTCGTGTGATCGCGGGTTATTCATTCTAATATGACTTTGTATATACAGTAAGATCGCCATATTTGACGCCAGAACTAATTGCATTTATAATCCAATTCAATCCGCTACTTAGTTTTGATGATTTAGGCCCAATTTATGGTTCCGTATGTTAGTCGTGTGTTATTTATGTGTTGAACGTGATTCGATTTAGCTATTTCCTTTGATTTTTTGAAAATTGCGTACTATTATAAGCCCTTTGCTAGATGAATAAACTTATTTTTATTATGCTGCTCCCTTTGCCGGTTGCCTTTCTCAACTGAAGTGTCGACGTGCTACATCATTAAGCTTAGTAAATAACTAGCGAACGGCCTAGCACAGACCTCTAACAAATATATGGGGTAAGCGCACACATAGGGACCACATATGTAGTAAACAATATCATCTCAACTTTTAAGGTTGGCCAAGCAAGTCGCAAATTGTCATCACAAGTAAATGCCCCTCCTGTTGCTGCGTGTATAATGATGATGAAAAGATTGTTCAGAATGAAGGGAAAGATAACATACTTGAACATAATATCCAATTCCATAGTGGTCTATAGTGTCCAAAAACTTACTTTTTATTTTACAATACTCAGAGACTCTTCTCGCACTATTTTGAGGCGAGATTTTAAGAAAACATAATCTGAGATGAAGGAATGCCAGACAATTTTTCGAATCTGATTTCTTAATTTCAGATCAAGTATATTGTAGATTTAAGCAAGGTGATGTAAATTGAATAAAATTTGTTTGAACTATAGAGCAAGTATGTTTTTTATATGCATTTCAAAATCTAGCTAAAATCTTATGCACGGACGTTGTTTTAAAGGCAATAATCTAACGTCGATTCGATTTGCGTTTTCAAATCATTTTCGATGTCGTTTCGACGTTGAAATTTCATAAATTGCAGACGTCGATTCGACGTCGATTTCCCGACGTCGTTTCGACGTCGAATAATCGACGTCGATTCGATTTGCATTTTCGAACCTTTTTCGACGTCGTTTCGACGTCGCTGGGTGACGTCGATTCAACGTTGAATCGACGTTGTTGTGCTCACTGGGTAATAAGCTCCGGGGGAGTCAAACCCAAACTCTCTTGAATGAGTGAACTTGAATATTATGCACTGCATGAATATGTGTTGTAAACGGTATTTTTGTATTAAGGCTAAAAACATTTAGTTTACTTCTTGAATAAAACAATAGAATTGCTTTCTATTTTGAACTTATCCACCGTTTAAGCTAAACGGGCTTGACACAACCGACCCCTGCTTTATTATCATACAATTACCTTCTGTGATGGGTACGCCATCTCCTGCATTAGTTATCGATCCAGTGGTACGTTGCGTCAACTGTTTCGTCAAATCCTCCATGTCCTGTCTCATTTGATGAATAACGTGACGCAAATTTTCGTTCTGAACTTGAAGTTCTTCATTATTCATATTCGCTGCTGGTGTGCCAACATCTTCGACTGTAACAAGAAAAGATGAGTATGAACTTAACCCGGACGAAAACGTCACGTTTTTGTCACAATTGAGATTTGTGAAACATGCATGAATGATAAAATCTAGACAAATGATAAAATCTTGCGAAGCAATGGGAGAGGTATCGATGTAAAGGTTTCAGATTCGCGAGCGCAGGGTAGGTCCTCAATTACATCAGCGCAAACTCAAAAGAATTTTGGAATGTGTCAAGTGTTTTGACCATGAAGAAAAAACGCGTTATTTCAGTGAAAATTACATGCGTTAAACTTCGAGTAATATCATCAGTAAAGTTTCGAAAATACTAAGATATTTTCGGTTGATATTTCCGTCCGCATCTAAACTTTATACATTTTGCGACAGTTATCTCGTTAAACACATCACTGGAGGAGATAGGGCCCCATATACGCCGTATAAAAACCGAACGCTAAGCGTTTACGATCTACCTACAATCAAGGTGTAAAACTCACCTGATATTTGGGAAGGCACGGTTAGTCCATGAAGCTTGAGAATAGAAACTGATTCATCGCTTTGCGTCTTCAAAATATGGATAACACTATCCTTGTGAAGCAGTTCACGTTTCTGTTGTTTCACCAACGATAACGCCTGATATGAAATAATACAGAAGAGTTCTATCAACCTGAATGTTGACATTGAAGTCCCTGATAATAAGTTTAGTAACATTATATCGCTTCATATGGACCTTGTGGGGCTGAAACTTCAACGGTTCCAAATTGAGAGGGGTAGGGTAGAGGCAATGGAAAGGGGTATAACATTTTACTATTTACATATTCATATATATTCACCTCTTCTTTGCCTTGTGTTAAATTCTTAACTAGTTTTTCTTGTTTATCATACCCAGTTCTCTCTGCCTCTTCACATCTGCGCTGCCAATCCAACTCTAACTGAGCCCTAGAACGTTCCAACGACGACTCCCTCTCCAAAGATAAAGACAACTCTTTTTGCCTCCTAAAGAAAAAAATTGGATCAAGACCTGAATTTCGATCTTTAATAGAAATCCTCAACACGATACACGACCAGTAAAATCAACACATAATAGGATCCGTTATTTAGAAAAATGGCGATTGCAGGTATTTTTTACGATTTTCGATCAAACTTTTACACTTTTTCTTTATCTTAAAAAAGTTATGAAACCTTATAGTACGATATTCATTAACACATAGTTGCACTTTAGCTCAGCAAAGGAGGTGTTTTAGACGGATGGATTGAATGGCTTCAATGGCCAGGTTTATCTTACCAGATATTATTAAGCCCCCTGGAAAATCACCTCATACGGTGAGCCTGGAATTATTTAGGAACGTTTCGCGATAGGTCTGAATTTAAAACAAATCAGGAGAACAAAGTTATATTCAACGTTTATTCGCACCTGTCAAGATCATTCTTTCTCTGCGCGAGTTCAGATCTCATCTTGGACTCCTGTTGATGCAACGTTTCTAATTCAACATCCTTTGCTACAGTTAATCTGGAATATTCCTGGTTCTGTTGGTCCATCTTGCTCTTTAAGTCTGCGATTGATTGATTTAGCCTGTGTAATAAAAACAAAATCATTTGTCACCTGTACAAAGTCGTTCCACTCCAATTGTTAAAAAGTTGTCGAATTTAAGCATCAACTTGTTCAAAAGCACTATTCTGGAATGGATGAAATCATAAAAGTCACAATCAAACCTTCCAGCAGCCCAGTATTATAGGTTAAATATGGTTTTTCGGTTCAAAAGCGGATGTATATTCTAGGTTTTGAAATAGACATGCCCTGTGGCAGAACTTAGCCTTGGTGAAAATAAATTAGAACAGCTCACATTTGGACATACTGAGAATTAAAACTATTTTCAAAAAAATCTACTCGTAGACACGAGTAATGCGGAACCTTTGGGGGTAATAATGATAATGTTGATAATTTAGGTAAGAACGCGTTTCAATATACATGGTCTTGCCCCCCGTCCCTCTCCTCCTGAGAAGTTTCATAAAGCTTACGTCTGTATAGTGATATCATTTTCCTTCAGTTTGTCCACAAGTCTCCATTCCTTTTGACGATGTTCCTGTTCTTTAGCTTCGAGTTGGTTTTGTAATTTGCGAATATTCTGCTGAAGTTGTCTTTCTTTCTCAGTGAAACCCTGGAATGAACAATCACAGGTTTAAAATCATGTTAAAGCATGATTGGGCTGATCGATATATAGCTAATATACCAGTAGTGTATATACGGCTGTACACATTGTATTGTACCACCCAATTGTATCGTCTTTTCAATAACTAGACACTCAAGAAACTACAACAAGAATTAAAATGTTTGGCATCTTGTACTACGTGAACATTACTTTGTTGGGTTTTTGTCCATAATGAAGCGACTTGATGAAGCGACTTGAAAATCGCTGTAATCAAAATGTTAAGGCCCTAGCTGTTATACCGTGCAATTTTTCTTCCAACTTGCAGTGCAATTCTACTTTTGAGAGATGTATATTTGGGAATAACGAAACTTTTGGGCTCATACTCGCACTTTTCTTCTGCAAGACTAATAATTTACATCTCTTAGCAGTACAATTGCATTGCAAGTTGCAAGAAAAATTGCACCGTGTAACAGGGCCTTTAATACTAATTGCCAGTGATTTCGAGTACGTATTCAAGGCAGTCTGAAAGGGATGTCTAAATAAGCCGTGTTTACACGAAGTGCCTGACATTTACCTGACATTTGCCCGTACCTGAGAAGTACCTAACCAAGTTTTACAGGGTGTGTTTACACCAGTTACCTAACGGGACTTATATACATACACACAACATAAAGTACTTTGAGTAGAGTATTAAAATAAGCTTGCAGTTCTTTGTTTGTTTATTTCGTACAAACTACAAAGCCTCGTAAAAGAATACGACGTATTACTGGGATTACTGGCAAACAACGATTTCATGCAAAAATAAAAAATATATGATATAACTTATCGGCAAGTTCCGAAATTCGCCATGTGGCTAATTATCAACTCTGAATTTCCCCCTAATTTTTGCAAAATCGCGCTAAAATTTCAAGACCGCTAAATGCTGACATCAAAGACTCGAATTTACGTTTGTTGTCATGGAAATTGCTTCGATCACACTGGGGTCAATGAAAATGTGTTTACACCGCCAGACTGACCTGAGACTTACCTAGGACTTACCTGATACCATGTTTTCAGGCCACCTCTAATGCTTGGCCTGAAATCATGGTCTTAGGTCGGTCCTAGGTCGGTCTTAGGTCAGTCCTAGTGCGTTTACACTACAGGACTAACTGCTTAAGTTAGGTCTTAGGTCAGGTATAGGTCTCTAGTGTAAACACTGCTATAGAAACCCATTCTGCAGTATTTCATAGATTATATTTATTAACATACCAAACTTGGACGACTGAGATGCAATTTTCATGCAATATGCAAAGATCATAGTTAACTGGTTTGAGTTATTTTTTACCTGCATACATGCGAAAGTTAAAGAGCTACAAGATCAGTGGTGTCAAGTTATGTTGAACTGTACTCATGCATACACACTTCTGACCTTTCCTTTTGCATAAACATGCCAAGGCTTTCCCAGCTAGCCTGATAAAAGTCTCGTCCTGTATAGACGCGATGATATATACATTGGCTTCGCGTTCTAATATTTGCCCAGTTGATGAAAACAAGGCGAATTACTGACGTAAACTATATCACCAGAGAAAATGCTTACTGTGCTACCAGGCTCGTGAGGTTTTTAGCTTTGGTAATAAGGCTTAATCTACATTTACAATAGCGACTTACTTGTTTAGCGTTGGTCAACATTACTTCTTTTTCCCGAGCATAGCGATCCAATTCGGCATGTTTCCTTTTAAAATCCTCCTCTAAGTTGTCTCCCATTTTCCTCATATTTTCCAGTTGTGCTTCCAGATCTGTGACCTTATACTTATGAGTGTTTTCCAAATCAGAAATCATCCAATCTTTTTCTTTAAGCATCCTCTCCAGCTCCCGAGTGCTCACTCCTGTCTTGTCGAGTTCCTCTTTACATCGACGACTATCACATCGCAATAACTCCAGCTCTTTTGTTAAACTTCTGATCTAAAAAAACCTGTCAATTAGTGAAAAACAAGTGACAATGACAGACTACCCAACAAAGCACTTTCTACATATGTACTTTAAACCAAAGGCCTAACTTATGCCGGACAATATACGTTTATCTCGGTACCGGTGGCCTCATTTGACCTAATGAACTCGTTTAAGCATCTAGACTACATAAGCAAAATTTAGCTTAGAGAGCGAATTCCTAAATTCGCCAAGAAGTTAGAGAAGAAGCAAGACTTTGTTGGTAGCAAGATAGTTTAACTGAGGAAAACAGTTACACACACATTGTATGTTTACAATGCACAACATGTAATATTTTTAGTATTAGTCATTCACAAAATGGCCTTAAACAACTGGTCTATGCGGTGAAATAGTTTCAAGCCACAACATGTAGTACGTGTTTAAAGTGCACAGGAGGCTTGTTGGAGAGAGATGAGGAAAAGGTCCCAGGAGAAGGAAGCTTTAGTAATGAAATGGTGGTAATATTGTATTTGAAGGTTACATGAAAGCATGCAGATAGGCCTGTAATGGTTGTAATGAGCATACATTATTACCTTAAGGTCATTTGACAACAAGAGACTACTTGTTTCATCCAGTTTTGATCGATATTCTTGTTCTTTTTTTCTTATTGCTTCATCAAAATTAGTGACATTTTCTTGATGACGAAACTCAAAATCATTTTCTGTTTCTCTAAAAAGTTAAAATGCTGATTTTTAACCAATATATATACCCGGTATTTTAAAGAATGCTCTAGTAACATAATCACTGTGATTCATTAATTCATTGTTAATTATAGCATCAGTAAGTTCTCAAAGTTCATAATTGCACATTGGCATACAATGCATGTAATATCCATACAGACACTAAAAGGTAGGTTACAGTGGCTTCTTCATATCAGTTTTGCTTATAACAATGGGTAGACTACTTGATTTAAAATTTCTGAAATTTAGCACATTTTTTACTTTTTGGAACATAAACTCCAGCTCTCATTTAGAACTATAGCAAACCAAAATAGTGTCAAATATTCTGACTGCAGTTCTTGATATTTTTAGAAAGAAATATATTGTGACCAAAAATGTAAACAAAGATTTTGTTTACATTAGCAACTGTACCCTACCTTTAGAATTCATATAATCACCTAAAATTCAAATGTCTTTAAGCCATGTCTCTGGTGGTATTCCAGTTTCAAACAATGATTGCATGAGGACTGGACTAGATTACCTTAATTGCTGCTCCAGATTTTTCCGATAGGATGAAAGCTCCTCCCTTTCTTTGGCAACTTCATTATCTTTCTCTTCATGAAAAGCTTTAAATTGATTCTGATATTCTTGCAATCTCTAGACATAATTAATCATATCATTTGTTGAAAATATCAGCATTGAACATAGCTAGTGAAGAAACCACAAGCAGAAGAGAAAGCTTGCAGCTCATGCAGCTATTCTGGAACAGTTCTAATTGCCGAATTTGTTTATTTTCTCTGCCTAGGCATATATCATAAAATAAATTTATTCTTGCACAAATATCTAGTGGCAGCTTGAAGCACACTCCATATAATCCACCGAAAAATTTATCTTGTGCTCTGCAAGTTGCAAATGCTTTCAACAAACATGTCTGTCCCACCATGACACTTACGTGTTTTGGACTTTGAAACCAAATGATTTTCGATCTAATTTCTGCCGTGACAATAAAATGAGTGTACTCTGAACAGGGCTTTTATTAGAAGCATCATATGGATGGAAGCATACAAAACCTAAATTGTGTAACGTTACAAGTACAAGTATACAGCACAACTATTTGTACCTTTTGGTAGTGTTTCTGTAGCTCCTCTTTGGACTTCTGTTCATTTTGTAACTTGATATTGAGTTCATCAATCTTCACACACAATTCACTAACTTGAGCAGTCTTAACGTGCTCATCTTCCTTTACTTTACCAATCACCGCATCATATTTCTCTAACTCTTGATCTCTTTCTAATATAAGTTTCAAGTTATACTCAAAATCATCCTTCAACTTACGAAATCTCAACTTTTCCTGTCTCAACTCCCTATCTTTTTCAGCTATAGTTTCTTCCAGTGCCTGAACTCTGAGTTGAGAAGCTTCACGCCATTCCTTTTCCTTCTGTAAAACCACGGAGTCTAAATGGTTTGCAGACATTGCAGCATATTAATAACACTAACACATTGAGTGCACGAAGGACATGCCAACTTCAGGACAGTTTGCTGATATATTTCGGCAGTTTGCGATTGTTTTTGCGGCTGACAGTACATCTAGTATAGTATATACAGCGATTAGCCCGCCTAATAAAGCTTCATATTCTGCTGAAATACATTCATAGAAGTAAAATTTCTAATTTCTATATAATATTTTTCTTTGTTTTGATAAAGATGTTTTGTGCATTGATCGCCCCACGTGTGTCACGCAAAACTACTATGGGTCCCGCGTGGTCGGAGATTACGTAAGAATAGGTACATTGGGCGTACATACGCTGTGATGAAATTTTAAAATCCAATGCAGGAAGTCAACCTGTTCATACGATCCAATTTTGTCGGATTCAATTAACTTCTGATGAATGTTTTGTAATCTGTTGTCTTGCAATATATATCAAGTAAATTGGATCCGTAAAGGTTGGCTCGTGTGAACGGGCTTTATAGTTCACAGTTCACTGGACCAGCTGATCTTAGCACAAACGGAGTAGTTCTAAACTCTACATGTCTACATGTAAAAGGTACGAAATAAAAATTCTAATTTATATTTGACAAAAAAACGAATGCATTTTTGCATAGAAATAATGGAAGAACTAAAATTTTGCCGAAGTTATTTGTAATGAAGGATATGATAAGTCAGTCTTGAAGCAGAGGATATGGCTTCTTATTCATTGATTTTTTTCACTCAGATTAGCTGGGTATGCAATGCCGTAGAAGGTGACTGTCTTTACATCCGTGCCATTCCATCATTTTAATGTAATGTTCGTCACAAAACACCCCAGACAGCTTTGTGAAATTAGTCCTTCCCTAAACTCGTTTTGGACAAAAGATGTCGAAACGGCGTAAATTCTTCTTTCAACGTGAGGTAACTACCCCCCCCCCCCTCCCCCATCACGGAATAAAAATGTTTAGATCATTTCAGTTCACTATATTTCTAAATGAATAGAATGAATAGAAAATAGAGTTTATGTTCAAAGAAATTCAAAACATGCTTTACTCGCGCGATTTCTAAAACATGGAGTTATTGGAACCCTTAATGTTATGAGCAGAACCGATGCGCAGAAGCTGTTGTAACCGGGTTGTAACCCGTTAAGGAATTCTAAGGAAGATCTGACACAAATCTCAAGAAATTTGTAAGAAAAAAAGCACCGCTTCCAAGTGTGGGAGACAATAGAAGCTTGACTCTTGTGTTTTATTATCCATGACAGGATATTCCGCTCCGGGTTCGTGTCTCCGGGTTCGCCAACGAAGTTAAACGACTGCAAGCATATTTTGTGTACTCGATCTAGTTCATGTGGGTATATGTGGACTCCCCTTTCCTCTCTTAAAAATAACCTTCGTTTTAACGGTTAACCTGCGATGTTTTTGTAGTGTTTTTTAATGTTTTTTAAATAACTCGTTAATACCAAAATTAAAATTTATATTGAGATGGCAAATATGTTTACTTTTGCTAGAGTGTGATTTGTGAATATTGAAGGCAGCCGCTATACAGCAGATTCAATTAGGAGAAAATACTTTTTTAGAGTAATCAGCGCATTTTTTTATCTCTACGCGAAACTAACTGAATATCTAAACGAACAATTTGTGAAAACACCACGTGCATGTATACAGCTCCTATATTATATACTTTGGTCCGTTAACCCGGACCTTTAATAATATCGCGATTTGCAACAGCTTCATCAATTCAATTAACGACCAAAAGCTTTGAGTAAATACACGTGGTGTTTTTACAAATTTATTATTTACTTATTTACTATATTCTCTAAAGCGGGAAATTTGCAAGTGCTATTGCAAATATACGCGGGAGGAGCGTGCGTCATGGTCGTTTATACGCTGTGATTATGATATGCTAAAGATTCAACTTTATACTCCATGCTATGCTAAGCATAATAAACTAATCTTCCTGTATTCTCACATTCAAAATTCGTTTAGAGTATATTTAGCAAATGTCTTTTTCAAAATGAAAACAGTAACCTATTCAGTTTTGTATATATTTAGAATTATAAGAATTGATGTTCCGAAAGAGATCTTCTTAATTGAAGCAGCTGCAACTCTTATTGCAAATCTACTCGGGTGAAAGTCGCAGATTTGTTTGTCTTATAACATATGATCCGTTTGTTGCCCGTATTTATTCACAGTGTATGCAGACTGAAAGCTATAAAGCTTATTTCAATAGTTTTGTGTTTTTACGGTACATCTTGGGAAGAATATGGCAAAACAGTTGGACTATTCAATTTATTGTGAGATTTTAATTGTCATTGACTTATTAAAACTATTATTTTCTTCTCATTCTTAATTCAATGCGCAGGTGAACATATATATTTAAACTCAAAGTAACGTATTTGTGGTAAACTCTGTCATTCACTGGTATACAAGCAACGACATTTTAATGTCATTACAGTTTAAAAACTAAAAATGACTAACAGCACGATTCTGGTTCCAGTTGCCAGCAGTGTTCTCATCTTTTCAGTTGCTTTCAAAATTATCGCGATGATTATTGGAGTATTGGGAAATGTCACAGTTATAATATACACAATTTTGTTGTGTAAAGAAAAGACAGCGACATCTTACTTGATAGCAAACTTGGCATTAGCGGATCTTGTCGTTTGTTTAACATTTTATCCACTATGGATCATCGAGTTCATTCAGACTATATTAAACATTAAGAATGATCAGGACTTGTTTTGTAAGTTAAGTCGTTCTACGATCTGGTCTTTTCTGTCTGCTTCAGTGGCTACAATTCTCGCAATTACTGTTGATCGTTATTTATATATCGTGAAACCTCTGAAATATCCTCTGATTGTGACACGTCGACGAGTGTTCCTGGTTGTTTCTGGAATCTGGATAACTGCTTGTTGTGTTTTTGTTATATTTTATGTCGACCATTCGAGTTTTGACGATAAAATCAGAAGTCTTTGCCGTCAATCTCAAAGTATTTATTATTCTGTTGTAGTTTCTCTAATCTATGTTCCTATTACTTCAATACTCCTTCTGAATTCCCGAATTGTAAGTGTGTCTCGGAAACACCGCAAACGAATCATTGATGAATCCATTGTCGCAGGCATCAGCAACCACAACGAACATTCAGGCAGAATAAGAGTTGTACTTCGTCTATTTCAGGCGTTTGCAGAAGCGAAAACATTTTCTATTGTTATTACAGTGTTGGCCGTCTGTTGCTTTCTACCAACAATTATCGGGATTGTGTTACGCTATTCTTGTAGTGATTCTTGCCGGCTGGTTTGGTTCGTGGTTGTTCAGTTGGAATTTTATGGCATAAACTCGATCGTGAATTCTTTCATCTACGGAATGAGGCATATCAAATACAGAAAAGCTTATGGACAAATTCTTTTCAAAATTCTAGACTGCATCTAATCGTTGTTGTTAGTGTTATGAAAACCTTCCTGGATTCTGCTCGTTACTCGATCAATATACTTTTAGTTTTTTGAAATAAATTTAGCCTTACGATTCATTTACTTTTTAGTTCTGAGAATTGTTTATACTAGACGTTCAAAGGGTCTTAATTCTGAGTGGAATTATATCCACACTTTAAATTCAATCAAGGAATTGAATTTGAAGTGTGTATAATTCCACTCGAAATTAAGACCCTTTGAACCTCTAGAATTTACCTGCATGGAGATGATGGAGTGAAGTGCCAAAAATCATAATTGGTATAGTTCATAGGTAAATAATCAATATTTTTATCCAGGTGGCCTGGACCTGGTCTAGGCCACAAAATCCAGGCCAACAGCAGAAGGTGGCCTGGACCAGCAGGCTTTACCTAGCCTTGGCAAATATTGAACTTAATAGTATGATTTGTATAGGATACATATAGTATTACCACTTTTCGGCGTGTTTTGGGTCTTTTTCCAAGTATATTGTTAATTGAGAGTGAGTGAGTGAGTGAGTGAGTGAGTGAGTGAGTGAGTGAGTGAGTGAGTGAGTGAGTGAGTGAGTGAGTGAGTGAGTGAGTGAGTGAGTGAGTGAGTGAGTGAGTGAGTGAGTGAGTGAGTGAGTGAGTGAGTGAGTGAGTGAGTGAGTGAGAGACTTTATTTAAAGAGGGTAACACCTGACAGTATATAAATACTGATAAACTAGTGGCCCTAATTACTTTAGCTATCCGATATCATCAACAAGGAAGACAGTGTGAACGTAGCACATATATATTACCTAGACTTGTCACAGACCTGGTCCAAGCCATGCAGGTCTAGGCCTGAGGTGTAAACGCGACTTAAGTCGTTTAGTAAACTAATCATAGTTAAAGCGACCGTTTTATACAACCGGCCTTTGATAGGAAATTAGCACCTGCAGGTAAACACTGAACCAACATAACATATCAGCGTCAGCGGAACCGAATGTCTAATATTGGCCAATGGAACGTAAACTCAAAGGACATACTCACGGGAAATACATAATAGACAAGTATAAAACATCCTGTTATTATAGATAAGTGGACGTCATTCTTGAGATTTCTGTGTATAAAAAAATTGTTGGTTCGAATCGTTCTGAATTCTTGGCGGAAGACCTTAGCTGAAATACAACATATTAAATATCGTTATGGCGTTGCGTGTTTGGCTTTCAATAATGGCCGTTATTTACAGTAAGTGAACAAAAATGTCAAAAAACCAACACTAGCTTAGTTAAGTGAACATCTTTGTTAAAGATGCAAATACAGTGTTTTTACCTCGACGAGTCATAAAAGAGAGTGACTTTTAGTGTAGTTAAAACACAAAGTGGTTTCGCGTTTGCCGTAAACACCAAGAATCCTAAGCCTACACACTCAAAGCCAAGGTACTCTACTCTCTATTATATACTGTCCCACCTACAATAGTTATACATGACATGTTTTCTCATTTAGAGCCACTCATCAGGGAACATAGAGTGTGCAACAATTTTACAATTTCGTAAAATAATAAATGTTTTACATAAAACTCCGATACTCAGCAGCGATGTAAGAGAGCAAAGGCCATTGCTAATGTATTTAGCAAAGCAGTAAATTCAGATCAGCAGTTTGTCTTTATAACGTTTGCCGTATAAAAGTTAATGCTTGAACGACTGCATGCACTCACTGTGCGACTGCATAATATTCCGAGTTTTACATGAGAACACTTATGAGCTAAAGAAATTGCTGCACACTTTAGGATAGTGTAGTTATTGAACACAAAGTTAGTAGCGGT